TAGATCAAAATAATAATGCCAACATCTACTGAATATATAGTATGCATTAAGCACTGTTCAGGGAATATCTCATTTTATCTTTATAACAACCCTATGAGGTGTAGGTACTACCATTTGTCTTATCTTAAAGATGAAAAAATTCATACAGAGAGCGACTAAGTAACTAATCTAAGGTTGAGATGAAAAGCCAAGCCAGAATCCAAACTCAAGCAGCTGGCTCCTGAGCCCAATATCTTACTAGCTTTGTGATACTGTGTATCTAGAGATGTCTGTATATTGTGACTCTCACAGTTCTGCAAGAAATCATACATAAGGGCTGCCTATGCATGGGTATTATACATAGCATTGTGTGCTAAGAGTATAGAAGGCACATATTCTTAGGTTCTCCTGATGCTATGTCACGGATCATTGGTCATTAAAAAAAGAAAAAAAAACAAAAAAGAGCGTAGGAGGTAAACCAGAAGAAGATAGTGCCAAATTTAAAATGGCAATCACCTTTGGCCATGGGTGGTTCAACAGAATTTGGGGTTAATCTGTAATGCTATATTTCTTTAAAAAAAAGATCTCCCAGGGATAGGAAAAAAAAAAAGTTGTAAGCAAATGCAACAGTGTTAACTGTTAATTGTGGGTGGTGGAAAATTATTATATGAGAAAAGAATGTTACAGATCTATAAGAAAAGATCTCTAAGATTTTTAAAAAATAATTTTTTAAGTGGAAAAAGCAGGGTGTAGCATGTTGTGTTAAAAAATGAGTGTGGAGACAAATGATTGTACATATGATTATAAAATATCTCAGGAACACAGGAACTTTTTAAACAGAGGTTTAATACAGAGTGGGTGTAGGGAGTTACTCTTGATAGCATATTACTCATCAAAAATTCAGCAGGGCTGGGTACAGTGGCTCACACCTATAATCCCAGCACTTTGGGAGGCCGAGGCAGGCAGATCACCTGAGGTCAGGAGCTCCAGCCTGGTCAACATGGTAAAACCCCATCTCTATGAAAAACACAAAAAAGAGCTGGGTATGATAGCAGGCGCCTATAATCCCATCTACTAGGGAGGCTGAGGCAGGAGAATCACTTGAACCCAGGAAGCAGAGGTTGTAGTGAGCCAAGATCTCGCCACTGTACTCCAGCGTGGGGGACAACAGCAAAACTCCTTCTCAAAAACAAACAAAACCGGGCAGGCGTGGTGGCTCACGTTTGTAATTCCAACACTTTGAGAGGCTGAGGCGGCAGATCAGTTGAGCCCAGGAGTTCAAGACCAGCCTGAGCAAAATGGTGAGACCCCACATCTACAAAAAATAGAAAAAGTAGCTCGGTGTGGGGGTGCATCCCTGTAGTCCCAGCTACTTGGGAAGCTGAGGTGGAAGGACAGCCTCAGCCTGGGGAGTTAGAGGCTGCAGTGAGCCCTGAATGCATTACTGCACTCCAGCACGGGTGACAGAGTGAGACCCTGTCTCAAAAAAATAAAATAAAATAAAATAAAAAATTATTAGCTGGGCGCGGTGAATCACACCTGTAAATCCCAGCACTTTGGAAGACGGAGACAGGCGGCTTGCTTGAGTTCAGGAATTCTAGACCAGCCTGAGCAACACGGCAAAACCCCATCTCTACAAAACATACAAAAAAATTAGCTGGGCGTGGTTGTTCACACCTGTGGTCCCAACTACTCAGGAGGCTAAGGTGGGAGGATCGCTTGGGCCTGGCAGATGGATGTTGCAGTGAGCCGAGATCACACCACTGCACTCCGGCCTGGACAGCTGAGCAAAATCCTGTCTTTAAAATAAAAAAAAAAATTCTAGGCCAGGTGAAGTGGCTCAAACTTGTAATCCCAGCACTTTGGGAGGCAGAGGTGGGTGGATCACTCAAGGCCCGGAGTTTGAGACCAGCCTGGCCAACATGTCGAAACCCCATCTCTACTAAAAACACAAAAAATTAGCCAGGCGTGGTGGTGGGTGCTTGTAGTCCCAGCCACCTGGGGAGGCTGACACAGGGGAACTGCTCGAACCCAGGAGGCGGAGGTTGCAGTGAACTGAGATTGCACCACTACACTCCAGCCTGGGTGACAGAGCAAGACTCTTGTCTCAAAAACAAAACAAAACAAAAAACAATAACAAAAAACCTTAGTTTCAAAAATGTTCATATTACCAATATTGAAGCTGACTTAAAAAGCAAAAAACAGTGCTATGGACATATTTTATCATCTCTATGATAAGCATTGGGTGTCAGGAACTTCTTGTAGGCCTTGGGTGGAGGTGACTGTATGGCTTCCTTAGTTTATCTAAAGGGCAGCCAAAAATACTCAATTAAATCTCTTGGTACACAGGGCTCTTCTCAGATATGACGCAGTTGTGCTATAGGTGGTCTAGGCCAGGCGCAGTGGCTCACGCCTATAATCCCAGCACTTTGGGAGGCTGAGGTGGGTGGATCATCTGAGGTCAAGAGTTCAAGACCAGCCTGGCCAACATGATGAAACCCCATCTCTACTAATAACACAAAAATTAGCCAGGTGTGGTGGCGTGCACCTGTAATCCCAGCTACTCAGGAGGCTGAGGTAGGAAAATCGCTTGAACCCAGGAGGCGGAGGTTGCAGTGAGCTGAGATGGTGCCATTGCACTCCAGCCTGGGCAACAAGAGTGAAACTCTGTCTCAAAAATAAATAAATAAATAAAAAATAAAAACATTAGGTGGTCTAAACAGTTTTCAGACTATCAAGGGTGTCCACTCTTTTGGCTTCCCGGCCCACATTGGAAGAATTGCCTTGGGCCACACAATAGCTGATGAACTGTAAATAAATAACCAAAAAAAAAAAAAAATCTCATAATGTTTTAAGAAAGTTTACGAATTTGTGTTGGGCTGTGGATTGGACAAGTTTTTAAACTTAAATTTTAATTAGAGCTTCAAGGTTTACATGAACAGATTTTTCTATCTTGTTCTTACTGCTCCCTTGCCTTATTTGGAGTAGGGGTACCTGCAGGTTGTAGCCACCTTGGTGTCAGAGGTGTTCGAACTAGAGTACCTCCATCTTGAGTGAGGGCTAGGAAAATGAGGCTGGGACTTGCTGGGCTGCATTCCCAGAAAGTCAGGCATTCCTAGCCTCTAGATGCTTAAGATTAAGGGAACAAATTAATAATGTTTACTAAACAGACCCAGGCTTGGGAGTATCCAGATACCCTGGTATCTGGAGAACAAAGGCATTCCTAATTTTGCTTTAAAGATAATATTGATTCTTGCAAAATATAGTAATTAAGAAAATTAATCCTTTATCATAAACCCTTGCAGTAGAGCACATCTCCCCAAGATCTTTTTTTATCTTATATGTATGAGCATTGTACTTAGGGTGGAAGTGTTCCTCCTCTTACTTTCAGGAATGCCCTGCTCTGTCTATGGAGTAGTTATACTTTCACTATTTTACTTTATTAATAACCTGCTTTTACTTTGCACTGCAGACTCATCCTGAATCCTTTTTCTTCTTCTTCTTTTTTTTTTTTTTTTTTGAGACAGAGTCTTGCCTATTGCCCAGGCTGGAGTGCAGTGGTGCCATCTCGGTTCACTGCAACCTCTGCCTCCCAGGTTAAAGTGATTCTCCTACCTCAGCCTCCTGAGTAGCTGGGACTATAGGCGCACACCACTGCGCCTGGCTAAGTTTTATAATTTTAGTAGAGATGGGGTTTCGCCATGTTGGCCAGGTTGGTCTCAAACTCCTGACCTCAGGTGATCCGCCCACCTCAGCCTCCCAAAGTGCTGGGATTACAGGCATGAGCCACTATGCCTGGCCTCACCCTAAATTCTTTCTTGCCCAAGATCTAAGAACCCTCTCGGGCTCTGGATCAGGACCCCTTTCCTTTAACACTTGGACTCTGAAGAACCTGAGTAAAACAGTAAGACAGCTAAGACAGCTACGATATAAAAACCACAGGGACCGGGCATGGTGGCTCATGCCTGTAATCCTAGCACTTTGGGAGGCCGAGGCAGGCGGATCACCTGAGGTCAGGAGTTCCAGACCAACCTGCCCAACATGGAGAAACCCCATCTCTACTAAAAATACAAAATTAGCCATGTGTGGTGGCACATGCCTGTAATCCCAGCTACTTGGGAGGCTGAGGCAAGATAAGAGCTTGAACCCAGGAGGCGGAGATTGCAGTGAGCTAAGATCACACCATTGCACTCCAGCCTGGGCAACAAGAGCAAAACTCCGTCTCAAAACAAACAAACAAACAAACAAAAACAACAAAACTACAAGAAGATTTAGTAAGTTCAGAGCTCTGATCCATGTCAAACACTGCCTGGAAGCCAGGAAGAGAGTTGATTTTCAGAACCAACAGATCATGGTGCGATCTTTAGGAAAACAGGAAAGAAAATGCAGGAATGAAATCGCATCTTATGGCAGGTACCTCAGTTTGGGGGAGGGGAAGGACAGGCTGGCAAATAGGTCATGTTAGGGATATTGAAAAATCTTGGCCGGGCACAGTGGCTCACTCCTGTAATTCCAGCACTTTGGAAAACCAAGGTGGGTGGATCACTTGAGGTTGGGAGTTCGAGACCAGCCTGGCTAACACGGTGAAACCTCATCTCTACTAAAAATACAAAAATCAGCCAGGTGTAGTGGTGCATGCCTGTAGTCCCAGCTACTCAGGAGGCTGAGGCAGGAGAACTGCTTGAACCTGGGAGGCAGAGGTTGCAGTGAGCCGAGATTGCGCCACTGCACTCCAGCCTGGGTGACAGAGTGACACTCCATCTCAAACAAAACAAACAAAGAGTATACCTTTCTCCAACAAATAATTTGATTTTGGAGTACTGGATGACAAAGGTTACATGGCTCTTCTCCTTGTACCTGTTCTCAAACCTGCCCCATCCAATTCTTTTACCTAGCACAAAGGTTTGGACATTGAACAGACAGAGGCTACAGTACCTACAGGCACACCTTTTGACAGGCACCATCTGCCCTACCCTGTATTAATTCACCTCCACGCTGTATTGAAACAATCTCATACTTACTGATACTCAGCCACACAGTCCAGCAGACCTATATAGTTTAAGGTTTCATGTTGAACAGCACTTTCAAGAGCTCGCACTCCACTGACATCTTTCAGAATATGCTGGACACTTTCGATGTAACCAGACTTGAGGAGATTTTCATCTCTCTCTTTTAAGGTTTCCTGGGGTGAAAGTATGCTTTCCAAGGCTTCATGGAACCGTTTCCCTTGTAAAAAGATGTCTGAAAAGAAAATCAGGGGAAAGGGAAGGGAGAAAACACAAACAAAGCTAACACTAAAAAACTAGTACTCTAAAAGGCTCTGAAACATAAAATTAAAAATTACATTTTTTTCTTTTTGTATTTTTTTAGATGGAGTCTCCCTCTGTCACCCAGGCTGGAGTGCAGTGGAACGATGTTGGCTCACTGCAACCTCCACCTCCCGGGGTCAAGGGATTCTCCTGCCTCAGCCTCCTGAGTAACTGGGATTACAGGCACCCACCACCATGCCTGGCTAATTTTTGTATTTTTAGTAGAGACAGAGTTTCATTATGTTGGTGAGGCTGGTCTCGACCTCCTGACCTCATGATCCGCTCGCCCTGGCCTCCCAAAGTGCTGGGATTACAGGCATGAGCCACTGCACCCGGCCAAAAATTACATTAGTTATTTTTAACTGACAACCCCTAAAACCAAATTTCAGCCTCTTGTGAAACCTAAGAATACACTTTGAAACCAACGGGATTATTAATAGGATTGTTAGGCAATAAAACAAATTAAAATTAAGTTCTTCTAGGAGAATTGGGCCAAAGTCAAAACTGAAGATCTGGAGGCTACAGGACCACACCCAGTTTATGGTACTATGTGTTTAAGTATCTAATTTAATAATAACTGGCTGTGACAAAATTAAAAAAAATTAGAAATCTAGGAACGGTGCTTCTGTTTATAGTTCTTTTTAGAACAAAACTTAATTATGAACATAGGTGGGGGAATCCTTTTACTAACAGGATTAGTGACAAATAAGGAATGGAAAATAAGGCATGCACAAATGAAAAGTAATGAATTCGATATTATGGAATCTGGAGGGGGACGAAGAGGAAAATATGTGACATTCTTCTCCTGTACTTTTTTTTAGTGCTGGAACAGCCTGAAAAATTCAGCTGTGTCCTGAATTTTTTTCCCCTCATATATTTTTTCTAATATTTAATATTTAACATGTAATATTTTTCTAATTAGCTTTAGATTATTAGAATTCTGATTTATGGCTTGTAGGAGGATACATTTTCCCTCTTCCTAACATTTTATAACATGTGAATACTAGAGAAATTTCATTAGGACACATTATTTTTCCCGTATGTTCATTTTCTGAGGTCAAAAGCCTTACTTTTCGTCCCCAGGTTTCTCTAAAAGAACTATAGTGTCCGGATTTGTTGGCGTATCCCAGGATCTAACTTGATTTTTGAACTCTCTCCTCATTTTCAGTGCTCCTTGGCCTCCAAGTGCTTGCATAGTAAGCCCCTTCCTTACACACATTTTTAAAAAGGGAACATGGCCGGGCATGGTGGTTCACGCCTATAATCCCAGCACTTTCGGCGGCCGAAGCAGGCGGATTACCTGAGGTCGGGAGTTCAAGACCAGCCTGGCCAACATGGTAAAACCCAGACTCTACTCAAAATACAAAAATTAGCCAGGTGTGGTGGCACATGCCTGTAATCCCAGCTACTCTGGAGGCTGAGGCAGCAGAATTGCTTGAACCCAGGTGGCGGAGGCTGCAGTGAGCCAAGATCGCGCCACTGCACTCCAGACTGGGTGACAGAGCAAGACTCTATCTCAAAAAAAAAAAAAAAAAAGGAACACAAAAGAGATTCAACAAATGCAAGAAATATTATATATTTACTTGTTTCTTAGTAAGAGGAGAGAAATAAAGAGGGGGGACTGTTATGCTAAGCAATGGCCTTGGAGCTTTCAAAACATTATTTAATTTTCAAACCCAACAACCCAGCAAAATAAGGATTGTAAGTTACCCGCTTTTTAATGAATGAGGCCCTGTCCCACTAGGCAGTGCTGTTAATTTGTCCCAAAGCAAAAAGCTGGACAGGCAGTGTGTTCTTTCCAATCTACCACACAGTACAGCAAAGAGGGCAATCTTGGAAATCACCAATTAGATACACAGAGAAACAGAGCAGGAAATACACGTGCTTGGAACATGCTTGCAGACAGACCCACAAAAAGGAGGAAAACAACTTTATATTTTGTTAAGTTCCTTTTTTTTTTTTTGAGACGGTCTCACTTGTCACCCAGGCTGGAGTGTACTGACTCCATCATAGCTCACTGTAACCTCGAACACCTGGCCTTAAGCAATTCTCCTGGCACAGGCACGTGCCACCACGCCTGGCTAATTAAAAAAAAATTTTCTTTTGTAGAGAAGCAATCTCTCTCTGTTGCCTAGTCTGGTCTGGAACACCTGGCCTCAAACAATCCTCCCACCTTGGTCTCCCAAAGTGCTGGGATTACAGGCATGAGCCACCGCACTCGGCCTTCAACTATTTTTTACAAAGATGGAAAAGTCAATTCTTTTTTTTTTTTTTTCCAGGCTGGAGTGCAGTGGTATGATCTCCGCTCACTGCAATCTCCACCTCCCAGGTTCAAGCGATTCTCCTGCCTCAGCCTCCCGAGTACCTGGGATTACAAGTGATCGCCACTGCGCCCGGCTACTTTTTTTGTAGTTTTAGTAGAGATGGGGTTTTGCCATGTTGACCAGGCTGGTTTCAAACTCCTGACCTCAAGTGATCTGCCCACCTGAGCCTCCCAAACTGTTAGGATTACAGGCGTGAGCCACCACGCCCGGCTGGAAATGTCAATTCTATCATTAGCAAAAAATGGAATCCCTTCTGAAAAATTATTTGGAGAGTTAAATGAAATTCAACTTAGGAATTAAGTTATTCTACTCCAAATTTACTTGGCTCAGTTGGAATTATTAACATGTGAAAGACCTACAAGAAATTTATGACTGATGGAATTAACGCCTAGGAAAAAGAAGTGGAGCATTCATCTACACACTAGGTTAATGAAGCAGGAGACAAACATGTTAAAAACAGGAAGGAAAAAACTTAGCAAATGCCATGCCAATAGACCGTACATTTCTCGCTGCAAACTTACCCCTGGCTAGGTTCTTCACATACACATGATCACAAACATGAAAACCTAGATCACAGGATCCTTCAGACACTAAGGCTCAGAACATTCAACATGATTCAATTTATAAAAATAAAAAATGATTCAAGAATATTTACTGCATGTAGCATCAAGTCGGCTTATTCACTCAAAGTAGTAAAAGTGAAATGCTTTCAAGTCCTCATATATGAAGTGCACTAAAAAAACCTCCATGCATCTCCAGTATTCTCATGATGGAACTGGCAGGATGGCTAATACTTCAGGATTAAATCAGCACAGCCAAAAAAAAAAAAAAAGAATTAAAATCTAAACCCCAGCCCTTTGTGTGTATTTATACACAAAATACAAAACAGAGTAAGTCAGACTTTCTCATCCCTGCCAGTCTTCAAAAGGTGAACTGACGCTTGGGAAACTGCTCAAGTATTTGGAAGAATGCCAGACACATATTTCTATGCTCTCACCTTTCAAAAGACTGGGTAGAAATTAATTTATTGATCCAATATTTTTCATTAAAAAAATCTTTATAATTTTTAAAATGTAATTCTTCTTGGGTGCCACCTTCTTGGGTTTGGGATCCAATATCCTCCAGACCCACTAATCAACTTAGTGAGCCCTTTTTCTTTTATTTACCATGACACTAATTGTCCCCTTATTTATTTCAGAACCCGTTGCTTACTAATACTTATTTTCTTAAAAAGAGTGATTCCGCCTGGGTGCAGTGGGTCACACCTGTAATCCCAATACTTTGGGAGGCCGAGGTGGGAGCACCGTTTGAAGACAGGAGTTGGAGACCAGCCTGGGCAACATAGGGAGACCCTCGTCTCTACAAAAAATAAAAAAATTAGCCAGGCATGGTGGTGCACGCCTGTGCACTCAGCAGGCTGAGATGGGAGAATCACTTGGGTCCGGTAGGTCAAGTCCAGGCCGGTCAGTGGGGGGAAGCGATTCCGCTCATTTTTTTTTTTTTTTTTTTTTTTTGAGACGGAGTCTCGCTCTGTTGCCCAAGCTGGAGTGCAGTGGCCAGATCTCAGCTCACTGCAAGCTCCGCCTCCCGGGTTTACGCCATTCTCTTGCCTCAGCCTCCCGAGTAGCTGGGACTACAGGCGCCCGCCACCTCGCCTGGCTAGTTTTTTGTATTTTTTAGTAGAGACGGGGTTTCACTGTGTTAGCCAGGATGGTCTCGATCTCCTGACCTCGTGATCCGCCCGTCTCGGCCTCCCAAAGTGCTGGGATTACAGGCTTGAGCCACCTCGCCCGGCCGATTCTGCTCATTTCTTAAGGTTGCTACTGAGTTAACTGAGAAACACAGCTGAGTGCTAATCTAGATCAACAAAGCTGACTCTATGAAAAAATACAACCAGTCTTCTCTCTGCCTGGGCTATTGGGGCTCATTCACATTCCAAACAGAAATTCCTCTCTGGTGCACTTCCTTACTTCGTGCCAAGAGCTACAGGCCCTAGGGTCCCACGTGTTCCAGCAGGTTTCTTCTGCCTTTTAATAATACATTTCTTATCAGTAATTTCAGCTGTGACATTCCTGGTTTAAGGAAAATAACTTCTCATGAGGAAACTATCAATTCTAAATTTTAGTGGTACAAATACAAAACTATAGGATGCCATTAAAAGATTTTTATGTTGCTTGCTTGGAAAGCAGACAATAGTTTGGTGGTTGCTACTAATTAACTATCTTAGGAAGGCAGTTAGCTCTTGCATATATAATCCTTGCCCCACACAGCTGAGGAATGTTATAAGGAGCTAAGGCCTTGACCATTTCTGCTATATCCAGTACCACTTGTATATACTTAGTATTTTTTTTTAGAACGTGTGACATGTTTAATGTGTTACAGTTTTAAGAGTCTGGATTAGGGAAAAGACGACTTAAATAGAAGCCCAGAGGCCGGGCGCGGTGGCTCAAGCCTGTAATCCCAGCACTTTGGGAGGCCGAGACGGGTGGATCACGAGGTCAGAAGATCGAGACCATCCTGGCGAACACGGTGAAACCCCGTCTCTACTAAAAAATACAAAAAAACTAGCCGGGCGAGATGGCGGGCGCCTGTAGTCCCAGTTACTTGGGAGGCTGAGGCAGGAGAATGGTGTAAACCCGGGAGGCGGAGCTTGCAGTGAGCTGAGATCCGGCCACTGCACTCCACCCCAGGCGACAGAGCGAGACTCCGTCTCAAAAAAAAAAAAAAAAAAAAAAAAAAAAAAAAAAAAAAAAAAAGAAGCCCAGGCTTCTATTAAGCCAAAGGTCAGTACACTATTCTTAAAATAAAAATAAAAGAGTTTGTGTACCACTAAGAGTACATGTACTGCACTTTGGGAAGCTTGGGTAAAGGAATGATTGATGTAAAACTTTCCTTTAACAAAAGACCCCTATATAATTTACGGGACCAGCTAATTCACCGATGCCAATGGTGTTTTTGAATGGAATATTAAATTTAAGGAACCTATTCTCCTCACTTGTCCAAGTTAGTAAATTAGAAGTTGAAGTTTAAAGTGTATTTATTCTCAGATCCTTATGAAGAACCTCTGATTATCTCAGTTTACCAAGGTCTAAATATAGGTCATGTGTTTTGGTCTGCTCCAGGGTCTTTAAATTTACGAGTCAGTTGACGCTAATAAGTAGGGCAATGGGTATTTACTAGATTCTAAACAGCATATCTAGCAAACAACTAGAATTCTGTTACCAGGTGACTTTTTTCCATAATCAAGGAAAACAAGCAATTCTAATATTGTTGGTAGCTCATAAAACAAGTGAATTTTATGTATTATTTAGTCAAATTATTTGATCTATTTTAGTTTCATCTGTAAAATGTAGGTAACAGTATCTATACTTCACAGGACTATCATGAGGATCAAGTGAGTTAATACACATAAAGTGCTATTTAATGTTAATTACTATCTGAAGGGAGTTCCTTGCTATTAAGTCAAAAAAACAAAACAAAACCTCATTCTTTTGACACCGTTGCTCTCTAGTCTAGAAAACATAGCAAACATACAGAACCAGAATTGAGATAATTACTTGAATTATATTCTTTAAAGCCATCTTCTCCCAGTTCCAGAATCATCCGCTGTTTCCACCTCTCCAACCAGAAAACCTGTCGTTTTGTCATGGTCTGCTGAAGCACTCGGGTCACACTTGGTATCACATTCCTTTGCAAGGGGATTTTCAAAGGAACTGAAGGATCACTTGCATTTGGTTTATCACTTCTCTCTGGATTGAAGATAGGAAACCAGTTTTGTGGCACTCGTGGGTCCTCACCTTGCTTTGGCGGCTTATGCTTGCTCACAGGTCCACAGAGTAAAGCATCTTCCTCCACCGATCCTGGGGTGTGGGCGACGCCTCTGGATGACAAGACAGACTGAACTAAATTAGAGTATTTTTCTTGGTCCACTTCTTCATATGGGTTCACATTTTTCTTCCGGCCACAACAGTAAGAGGAAGTAGAGAAAGCCACCAGGGCAGCTGATTCCACAGAAAATCCCTTTGAACTCCTGAGCTGCCTGCAAATGGTCTGAAATAACTTCATCTTCATTCAGATTTGTTTTCACTTTTCTCTAGTCTATTTGCAACGGTCGAGGCCCTTTATGTTTGTATTCCTATTAGAGAGAACACAACCATCAAAGCGAAAGCTGCATCAGAATAACATTGCACATCAAAATTGTGAACTTTTTCGACATGATTGGACAGAGCTCTTTCTTTTTTTTTTTTTTTTTTTTTTTTTTTTTTGAGAGGGAGTCTCGCGCTGTCGCCCAGGCTGGAGTGCAGTGGCCGGATCTCAGCTCACTGCAAGCTCCGCCTCCCGGGTTCCCGCCATTCTCCTGCCTCAGCCTCCCGAGTAGCTGGGACTACAGGCGCCCGCCACCTCGCCCGGCTAGTTTTTTTTGTATTTTTTTAGTAGAGACGGGGTTTCACTGCGTTAGCCAGGATGGTCTCGATCTCCTGACCTCGTGATCCGCCCGACTCGGCCTCCCAAAGTGCTGGGATTACAGGCTTGAGCCACCGCGCCCGGTCTAACAGAGCTCTTTCTTAAGAAAGTCGACAGAGCGAGACCCTGCCTCCAAAAAAAAATTTATAAATAAATTAAGACTCTCAATACCCGAAGGACTGGCACATATTAAATGCGAATTAGCAGACAGCTTGGGGCAAGACGTCCCCCGTCTCTAATATGCAGGAATGGGACGCCCAGGCAGGGAGGGGTGTGCGAGACACGGAAAATCACAAAGATGGAGCCCGTCCCATGGCGGCCACACAGTCCTAGGTGACAGACAATTACTGATTCCTAGACACCAGGCTCTCTGCTAAGTATTCTGTATGGATACTTCTCATTTGGTCCTCACACCCTCTACCGTGGGTCTAGAATGAACCCGTTGCACAGACGTGGAAATCGGGTTGGAGGGTCCAGTCGCTCGCCGGTCAGAGCTGGTGGCGGCGCTGAGGTCCCATTATTGTGACCGCAAAAAGGGGCCTCCCTCTCCGTCGTGGGCACGGACCCCTGGCAGGGCCAGGACGGCGGTGGCCCTTGGGGCAGGAGTCTGGATTAGAGAAAAGAGGACTTAAATAGAAGCCCAGCCTACGGCCAGTGTCGGTACCTTGGGAGCCACCACACTTCGCTTAACTCTGAAGGCGCGAACAACCTCTCGCGACCCGTACTTTCATCCGTCCCGCGCTTTGGTTTCGAATTGGGTAGGCACAGCGTAAGGCAAAGTAGGTCCAGAATGCCTCGCGGCGCTCACGCCCCACCCGCGGCTCTCTTCGGCCTCCGCGGACGCGCCACCAGCTAGAGGCAGGGAGTACTTCCTCCCAGCTGAAGGGCCGGCGTCTCCGAAGCGCGGGAGCCTCTAAATCGCGCCCTTCTGCTCTCACGAGATCTGGTGACGTCAGCGCTCGCCGCCATCTTGGACTCGGGCTGAGGAATAAATTCCCCCGGCACCGAAACACGGTCTTTCTCCAGACGCATCTTGCTGGGAGAGTGTCCGTGGCTTTGCGTCCGCGTCGCGGCCCTGCGGTCGGCGGCCTCCTCGTGGAGCGTAGCAAGGGTAGGCTCCGCGTGGCGTCTTTGCCCGGCTCCAAGATGGACGGCAGCGGGGACTGGGGGAGCACGTGGCGCCCTGCTCGCCTGCTCCCGGGGCAGCTGGGATGGTGGCGGAGTCCGGAGGCCTCCTGCTGCCGTCGGGCAGGGAGGCCGGCGGAGGCGGGGCCGTGGCCGCCCCCGAGAGGCGCCCAGGCGGCGGCGGCCCAGCCTCTTCTTTCCTCGCACAGTCAGGCGGCCCTTGCTCGAGTCCCGCGTCGCCATGGCCGCGGTTCCCGAGTTGCTGCAGCAGCAGGAGGAGGACCGCAGCAAGGTGAGGTCCTCCCCACCTCAGGCTCCTGGGCGGGTGGCCCTGCGAGCTCCTGGGTGGCTATATTCTTTGCCTTGCGCGTCCGTAGGCCCTGGCTGCTCGTGGCCATCCCTAGCGCGGGAAGCACCCGTGAGGCCCGGGCAGCCCCTGTTCCTCGTCTTCTCTGAAGGCTGCCCTGGGGAATCCCTGTGGGTCCCCCGGATTCTCTCAGGATAGAACCGGAGACGCGGGACCTTAGCCCCGGCTCAGGCGCCCGTGCCGAGTGGACTTGGAGAGAGGATCTCTGGAGACCCCGGAATGTTCATTTTAAAACTTCCCTCGGCTTCGTGGTGACCTGTAAGTGAACGTGAAATTGACTTAACATGAGACAGACCAGTTTGGTTTGTTGCCCCCAAAATGCTCCCCCCTTTTCTCCCCCCGCCTTTTTTTTTGGTGGGGGGAGCCCAAACAACTTGGGAAATTCCATCAGGTGTCCGAACATGCTTCCTACAACTTCAGAAACGCAAAATGCGTTGTTGTGGGGAGTTGTGTAATTTTTAGTAGGTGCTCAAATACTTGCTGAACTTGGTGTCTATTTTTAAGTCTTGTCCATTAATGTAAACTGCCCCTAGGTCACGTGTATCTTGAGGTCTAAAAGATTATTAATGCAATAAATTGAGATTGCAATAGCCAATTAAAGATTCAGAGATGAGCCTCCACTGTTTCATTGGTTCTTTAAATTTGCCTCGTTAGCTTTGCGATGCATGGTTTGTGAGCAACCTTTCGTGCAGTATCGTCGACATAAGTTTTTCTGACCGATGAAAAATAACCTCTAAAAATACAAGGCTCTCTAAAGTGTAACTTGGAGCCGTCTTAACTTACACATCTCTTGAGAAATTAAAGGCACCTCCATAGAGAAACGTGTTCATCTAGTAAGTAGATACCGTAGTTTCAAAGCGGCTGGATTGTTAAGAAGGGTATCATTGTTGAGTTAATTATTGAAATAGAGCTTTGTATACAGGAGGTTGTTTAAGAGTGTTTTCTTTGAAAGTTCTTTTTTACTAAAACAAGGTAGAAACTTGAGACCACGATTCTTTGTAAAACATTATAAAGGTACTTTTCTCCATAAAGGGTAGATACTGGATGGGGGTTTTGGTAGCATTTTGTTTTTTTTCTTTCTTTCTGGTACGTTATTTTAGCTGTCTTGATTCAGAGTCAGCTAGGTAAAAGGACTCAATTGCTTCACCCCACTCTGATAGTACAGTATATTGCGCCTGGTTTTTTAAATGACTTTTCCATCACCCTGATCCTCCATCAAAATTGGAGAATAGTTATGAAGTCCATTTCCTACCTGTTTTAGAGGCTCCAGAAACTGTTGGTATCTGTAGTGAAGAGGGTTATATGGCATTATTTTCCTTTTTACATTACAGGAATAAAGAGACAATAAAACTAAATAATTACCCTGACGCGTGGCTTTATTTTTGTTTTCTGATCTCTGCTGATGCTGATACCCTGCAGTGGTCTGGCCTAGATGGTATTACGGTGTTATCATTAACTGAAAGGGAGTTTGGGGCAAGTATGAAATAATGGGAAACCAAGTCCTGGGCAACTTCTTGCCATAATACAATTTCAGTAGTCAACTGAAATGTTTTGTGTGTTACTTAAAATGTTTAAAAATGCCCCCCTGATAATTTGGTTTGGAATTCCCCTGAGGATGGAGTTAAGACCAACTAAGGTAGGGGGACATACTTGATTCTTCAGGATTTTGAATTCTAGCCCAATACCCATTTTGACTAATTCAGCAAAACTGAAAGGGAATATTGTGTCAAGTCGCGTCTGGTAGCCAGACACTGGCATTTTGTTACATTCTTTAACTGAGGGTGTTTGGTTTGCCTTCCTCAGAAATAGTTCAGGGGAAGAGATGCATGGTTGATTTGGTTCCTAACTGGACCTCTACTAATGACAAAGATTGTTTTTTGATTTTTTTTTCCCCCTTTTGAGACGGAGTCTCCCTCAGGCGCAGTGGCGCGATCTCAGCTCACTGCAACCTCTGCCTTCTGGGTTCAAGCGATTCTCCTGCCTCAGCCTCTCAAGTAGCTGGGATTACAGTCCGCGCACCACCATGCCTGGCTAATTTTTGTATTTTTGTGGAGACCGGGTTTCACCGTGTTGACCAGGCTGGTATTTGAACTCAACCTTCCCAGTCTAGTGCTATATTTGACTAGGGGGTTCTCCTTCCTTGACAGTAACAACTTGGCCTTAACTTACTTACTGCTTTGTTACAGGGACTTTGGTGAATATCTGTCCTCTTAGCTAGTCAAGAGTGTTTGTAGACTAAGTACTGCTGCTCTGGTTTCATGTTTAACTGGTATGGAAACTGCTCTAGGGGTATTTTTGTTCTCCATTAGCTAGGATGGAGTGCAGTTCGTTAGTATAGGAACAATCCTGAACTTTGACCAATACCATAGCAAGTCCAAACTTACCAAATTTTGTGGACTGAAGCTTTATGCTACCCTTGCAACTATTTTCTAAGTTGAGGAAGTATGACATATCAAGCTGCCCACGCCTTAGTTCTAGTTCAGTAACTTGTACTCGGTGTCTTAAGATCCCCATTTGTGAATACTCTAAAAGGTCGTTATCTTCTCACATTATTTCGGCCATAGGTAGAAATGGCCAAAAGGCTTTTTTTCGAGACAGGGTCTGGCTGTCACCCAGGCGGGAGTGCAGTGGCACGATCATAGCTCCCTGCAGCCTCGACCTGGGGAGCTCAGGTGATCGCCCCCACCTCAGCCTCCTGAGTAGTTGGGGTACAGGCATGCACCACCATGCCTGCCTAGGTTTTGTTTTTTTTGTTTTTTGTTTTTTTTTTTTTTTGCTAGAGACGGGGTTTCACCATCCAGTTCAACATGCTGGGATTACAGGCATGAGCCATTGTGCCTGGCCAAGGCTTTAAGTTTGTAGAATTGTTTCTGAGCTGTAAACTCGCAATCGTTGAGACCTAGTGATCATCTAAACTAGAGGTTTAGTTTAAAATTCAGTTTCTCAGTCTGGGGAGCAGTGTTGACATTTTGGCCTGATCACTTTTGTTGAGGAGTGCCCTCTGTTGTAGGATGTTAAGCAACGTTCTTGGCCACTGCTAGGATTCCTCCCCTCCCATGGTGATAGTAAGAAGTCAAAATTGCCTGCTTGAGAATCACTGGTTTAAACGGACTTCCTTCTAAAATGATGTGATATGAGTGGGGTCGTTGTGTTACAGAAGTTGGTCTTTGTGTGCTTGTTGCGAATTTTTCAGGTTTTCTATTAATCTTGCCTAAGGAAGTAACATGCCATGTAAAAATTAGCATTGTTGGATATCTTTGTGAGAATTAAGCTTTTCCACTAGTATTGAGGAACCATATCAAAAGGTGGTGAAAGATGGTTTTCTTCAGCAGGTTCTGGGTACTTGAGGGTTACAAAGGGAGGGCTTCATGTTTGTGAGTGCCAGCTTTGGACACTGGAAACCTACCTGAGTTTCTTGTGCTACAGAGGGGAACTTGGTTTAAAATCCTGCTGTTTTCAACATTTTGCTGTCTTTATTATCAGGGTCTTGTTGCTTGAGCAAATTAGGTGAGAACGGTTCTATAGGTTAGTACCCTGAATGTCTCAAATAGCCCGTGGTCAAACAAGTGTGTAGTGAAGTTAAATAGTATTTAAAGAAACAGACTAATTTTAATGACCCAACAGTGAGAAAACTATTTCAGAGCTTTGTAAGTTCTGTCTTGTCTTACTGAAATTGTAAGGGAAGATGGCCATAGGATAGCTCTCATCTCACATGAATGTGGTAAATTTGATTTTTTAAAGTATAAATTAAGTTTCTCTGCATGATCTAACTTTCCAAAAAGTGGCTTCTTCACCCTTAATGCCTATTTTCTGATTGGCCATTGAGGTACTCTGACAAGGTCTAAAAGAGATTCACACCTTCGCATGCTGCCTAAAGGCAAACCATAGTCCCTAAGGAGGAGTGTGTAAATTGCAGTTTGAGGGGCAGCCAAGACTTCAGTTTAGAAATGCAGGTCCTTGGCTTGACTCTTCCCCTTTTTACATTTTGGCATAACTTTTTTAGGAACTCCTATATGGTCTGGAGAGAAAAGTATAATTTTCTGCCTGAAAAGCTCAGTTTCTGAAGGGCACACTCCTCAGCATTCTAGTCATGGTAAATGGTGAGGAATACAAATCCAGATGGCTCCCCTCACAGGGTTTTCACTTTTTCTTTCAAGAGCACCGCAAAGCCAGGACATTGTGCTGTTAGATACTTCGTAGCTGGCGGGTGATACAATGTTGGACTTCTTCCCCCAGCCTTCCTATAGCTTTCATGAATTTTATTTTGAATTCTTGTTTTTATTTTGTTTAGAATTCTTTTTTTCAAGACAGTCTTGCCGTGTTGTCCAAGCTGGTCTCGAACTCCTGGGCTCAGGCCAGCCTCCCGCACTCAGTCTCCTGAATGGGCCCCTGGCTTGAGTATTGGAATATTTACATCTGAATGCTTTGGGAAATTTGCTGTACCTCAAACTCAGAGTGAAAGAAATGTCCAACCAAAAAGCAGGCAGCCTGCTCTCCATGCTGCCATTTATGTCTCAAACTGAGATGACCAAGTTTAAGTTCAAACTAGCAGCTCTACCACTGTTGCTGAAACATCTTTCTTGGTAAAGGTAAATTCTGAAACCTATTTCCTATTCATCTTGGTTTGATCATGAAGTGAGACCCATGGAAGGCAGTGAACGTCCTTCAACACCCTCATCCACATGAGTAATACGGACCATCTTAACCTTTGTCGAAGAGGGCTTGTTCCAGCCTTGGCGACAGAGTGAGAGCCTGCTACAAAAAAAAGGGGGCTTGCTGACTTGATATGCCAGTGAACTTTTGGGAGGGAGCCTTGATGGGATTCTGTAGTAGGGAAGGCCTTTAGCTCTGAATAAAGGAAATTGGCATTTCTGTTTTTTACTTTTTGAGACAGGGTCTCAGGATCTCAGCCTGCTCCCAGGCTGGAGTTCAGTGGTCTGATCATAGTTCACTGCAGACTCAAAATCCTGAGCTCGAGTGATCTTCCCACCTCAACCTCCCAGAGTGTTGGGAGTACAGGCGTAGGCCACCGAGCCTAGCTGATTTTTTTTTTTTTTTTAAAGGCCTTGTCTGAAACTCCTGGCCGCAGGCGATCCTCCTGCCTCAGCCTCCCAAAGTGCTGGGATTGCAGACAAGAACCTCTCTGCCTGGCTGGGTTTCTGTTATTCATTTGTTGGACCTGCTTTCTTGGTAGCAGTGGTGTATTGATTCCCACTAGGATTTCTCTGCCAGGAGATCCTTACAGATCATGTAGTTCAACCCTTTTGCTTTGTGAATTCATTTGAAAGTATTATAATTTCGGTACATAATAATTAATGGATTTCTTGACATGCATTAGATATTTAAGGCAGTAATTTAACTCTGGTTCCACGTTGATTCCATTAGTGCATGGGCTTGCAGCCTTGTGAAATGATGATTCAGTTTATCCATTCGCTGAGTGCGCTGCACTGACCTCCTTCCAAGCCTCAGTTCCTGTTCTAGGAACTTGAGGCTATGTAGCCTGCAAATGCCCTGCAGTCTGCAGTGTTCTACTGTGAACTGCTTGTGTGTTGGCAGGCTACCGGTAAGAATGGTTGGTGTCAGCAGGGATGGGGCTCTCTGGGACCCATCTCACAAAGATGAGTGGTGAAAATCTGATCACTTGCTGCAGCCTTTCAGTTTTTTATTAAGCTGATGCCTGAGTAGCTTTAATAGCTATTAGCTATGTTAGTAGACTGAGATCTTCTGTTAGAAGTCCTTAGTTCTGTTTTCCTTGGGGACTAAGAAATTGCAGGCGTGAATTACAGGAAGGTGAGAACTAATGGCTAGGGAATGAGAGCCAATACCTGTAAAAGCAGATTTGGGCCAGGTGCGGTGGCTCATGCCTGTGATCCCAGCACTTTGGGAGGCTGAGGCGGGCAGATCATGAGGTCAGGAGTTAGAGATTAGCCTGACCAACATGGTGGAACCCCTTCTCTACTAAAAATACAAAAATTAGCCGGGTGTGGTGGCGTGCACCTATAATCCCAGCTACACAGGAGGCTGAAGCAGGAGTATCTAGGATAATTGAACCCGGGAGGCGGAGGTTGCGGTGAGCTGAGCTTGTGCCACTGCCCTCCAGCCTGGGCGACAGTGAGGCTCTGTCTCAAAAAAAAAAAAAAAAAAAAAAGGCAGAGTTGATGTATTGCTTATAGTTAGTTGAACCAGTTGTTTTTCACACACCAGTGCCATAATCTGCAGCTGAGATTGAACACAGTTAAGTAGGTATTAGTTATCTTCAGGATGGAAGAGAACAGTAACAATTCAGAGCACCAATGGGAACATTGTTTCCTGAGAGTTCAAACAGTAACGAAGTAACATATGTTTCCTAAATATGTATCATGTGAATCTTTAACGTTTGTGGACAGTAATACAAACCTAGAGTGTGACAGAACATCTTAGAATTTTATGTCCTTACTTATGAATATTGGACTAGGCAAGGTGTGGATACCTTTCCAGCTGAAAATCTGATCAAGGAGGCAGACTTCTTGGCTCCATGCTAAGAATCGTGGGTGATTTGTCATATTGGCCCTCTTTCTGGCAAAATCTTAGTTTTCTTAGGCAGTGGAATGAGGCATAACAAAACAAAATCCCTGGAGGCTAGGAACAGTTTGAAAGAAGACACTGTAGCATGTGCTGCTTAAGTACATATCTCCTGCTTTTGGAATGGAAACTAGGAAGTTATTTAAATAGATACATCTGTTTTTTATCCTATCTGCAGTAATTAATGTGGGATATTCAAATAGGAAAATACGGGCTAGCACTGCATATTGTATACATGTCTTACATTGTATGCAAATGACTATTAGATTTAGATGACTAATTAGATTTAAATGACGGTTCAGCTAGCTCCAATCTTAACAGATCAGAGATTGTGGAGTTTAACTTCTTTGGACTGTGTCTTTTTCATTTTGGCGCTGTGTCTGCAGTCACCATAACCACTTAGAAAAATCTGTATTTTTTTCTGTTCTCCTCGTGTGTTCTGAGTTTTTGAATCTTCCCTTTTGTGGTGTTCAGTCATCCAGGTGCCCTTTGCCCTCTGTGAGCCATTAAACCTTTTGAAGAGGCAGCTTTGCTGGGATCATTGTCTTGTGCCACAGTGAGTCGTAAGTGAAATTTGGGCCAAAAGTGAGTTTATGAAGATTGGTGGGCAGGAGCTCAAGATCTGCAGGGTTGTCCTGTAGCCCGTGTCTGATGTGCCCCAGCTGGGAAGCTGATGAATAGGTGAGGAAATGCACAGGGATTCCGTAACTGCTTTTCTCCTTTTAGAGAAGTGCTTTGGCTCTCTTACCAAAAGCATCGCGATTTCTTAAAACAGTTGAAAATGTGCTTTCCAAATGAAGCTGTGCTTGTTTACCTCTTGTTTACCATGAAGGCTGATTATAATCTGTATTGTAAGGATTGACCTGGTAGGGGGAAGTACATCATGAACTGAAACTTTACCTAAAACTTTGAATACATGAACCAGTAGTTTCAAGAGAAATCTACAAAAGTCAGGCTTTTTAAAATTTTTAAAAAGTTCTGAAATAGAGATGAGGTCTCAATATATTGCTCAGGCTGGGTTGTTGAGATTTTTGTTTTTTGTTTTGTTTTGTTTTGTTTTGGAGACTCGCTCTGTTGCCAGGCTGAAGTGCAGTGGTGCGATCTCGGCTCACTGCAACCTCCGCCTCCCGGGTTCAAGCAGTTCTCCTGCCTCAGCCTCCTGAGTAGCTGGAATTACAGGCACGTGCTACCATGCCAGACTAATTTTTTTTTTTTTAAGACGGAGTTTCACTCTCATCGCCCAGGCTGGAGTGCAGTGGCGTGATCTCGGCTCACTGCAACCTCTGCCTCCTGGGTTCAAGCGATTCTCCTACCTCAGATGTTACAATGCTTACAGTGGCAGTTTACAACAGTTGACAAAGCAGGCTTCAGAACCAAGTCCCGCCTTGGGCATGCCAGACCTTTGCCATGCAAAGTTGGCCCTGTTGGCCAACACTGAGTCTCTGTCTTAGGCCACACCTGAGTAGCTGGGATTGCAGGTGTGCGCCATCACGCCCAGCTAATTGTTGTATTTTTGGTAGAGACGGAGTTTCACCATGTTGGCCAATATGTTCTCGATCTCCTAACCTTGTGATCCACCTGCCTCTATCTCCCAAAGTGCTGGGATTACAGGCGTGAGCCACCGTGCCTGGCCAATTTTTGTGTTTTTAGTAGAGACGGGGTTTCACCATGTTGGTCAGGCTGGTCTCGATGTCCTGACCTCAGGTGATCTGCCTACCTTGGCCTCCCAAAGTGCTGGGATTATAGGCGTGAGCCACCACACCCAGCCAGAAGTCAGTTTTAAAACTTAAATTATTTGAGAGTAGGTATATTTTCAGTTTGATTCTTACAAGTGACCTAAGGAATCTGGAAAAGAGGTAAAACTTTGCATGGTAAAGGTCTGGCATGCCCAAGGCGGGACTTGGTTCTGAAGCCTGCTTTGTCAACTGTTATAAACTGCCACTGTAAGCATTTTAACATCTGTGGCCTAAGGCAGAGACTCAGTGTTGGCTAGCAGGGCTAAGGAGTACTCTGAGCCCTTCAAGCTAAGGGAGATGGAGGCAGAGGCAAGTGAGAGGGGAAGAGTGGAGCCTGGTCATTATTTAGCAAGTTCTGTAGCACTGTGGAGTGGGTTTGTTGACTAAGCAGAAGAAGGAATGCTGAACTTTTAGTTACACTTGATGCTTCCTGAGTGAGGGTACAAATGCTGACTTAGAAGCTCTAGTCATTTCATTACTTTCTACCCATGTTTGTCTCATCTGGAGGGTTATATGCTGTAGTATGAGAAAGTTTGTTTAACTTGTGCCTGAGGGACATTGAGTTGGTGATGGCCTGGATGCTGAGGGATTTTGCCAGTATTCTCTTTTAGACAGTTCTTTTAGGTCCAAATACAGAATTGCAGTATTTGCTTATTTGGTGGTTAGGACTATCATGTCAAGTGATTGGATTTTACCTTGAATCCCTTCCTAGAGTGAAATGTCTGGGCGAAAAATGGCTGCTAGTGAAGCTCGGATGTTTGATATGCTGTGGTTGCAGTCACTCATACCTAGTAGTTTTCTTCTTTTTGTCCTCATCACATTCTGAAACAAAAAATGTTTCTATACTAACCAGGAAGGAAGACAGGTATAGTCGGGGGTATTACCTCTACATGGGAAAAGGAACGAAAACAGAAGATAATTATTCAGAGGAATGAAAAGCAGCTAAAGCAGCTGGTAGCATCCATTATAGCTTTAACTGTGGTGCTTGAATGAGCTGCATTTACTTGATTACATCCCCCTTGGGTCCTCCTATTTGAGCTCCAAGGGTATCCCATATGGGGTTCACAGGCTCAGTGAGTTTGCTGGGCTTGTGAGCAAAAATGGAACTGTCAGCATATTCATTTGACCGGTGCTAGAAGTCAGGGTTTGTAACTTCTTTAGGAAATGGAATCTTAGGAAATGTGGCAGTTTTAGAGCTCTGGGAAACGCACCTTAGACCTGTCCTGTGAGATGCCCTATGTCTCCTCCAGAGACCATGGCTACTTCTTATGCCTGGCTCTGTGAATTCCTGTTCTTGGGCCTGCCTGACCTTGACAGATAAGCCTAAGATCAGTAGAGTCGTTGGTATTCCTCTGCACATCTCAGTTAATGGTTTGAGGTATTGTTTTTAAAGGCTGTATTTGTCCAGTGTTAACTCAGCAGAAGGAAGGAAACTCTTATCAGAAAATATGCCAGAGCTGGAGTCACAGTTATGATCAAATGAAGTCTCTGACCTTGAAGCTTTATCTTTGTTTGCAGAGATCTCACAAATGGACATGTGAAAATTAAGCCAGACAAGCAGGTTTCATAGGAATTATCGATAATTCATTTGGAAGAAAAAGTACTTAGGTTGAGATGTGAGGACTCAAAAGTATCTGTTTTGATGTTACTAATAGTTGCTGTTAAAAATCAACTTCTGGTGACTACTTGAGCTTAATTTCTGGGAGGAAAGCCATTGTGATATCTCCCCCTGGCTTTCAGAATTAGAAATATACAGTGCTTAAGGAAAAGGGAAGTACTTGAAACTTTTAAGTAATCCATGTGCTTTTAGTGAATGTATTTAGTCTTTTTGTAGCTGATTGACTAGATTTTCAAGTTTTAGAGGTTAAGTACATAGTTTTAGTCTTGAACTTTTTAGTTTCAAGAAAGGGACCCAAAGGGAAATTTGGAGTGAAATACCTCATCTTCTTAATTCTAATCTTCAGTTGGCATTCCCTGCTTTGGGTAATCCAGTGTTATGACAACTTTAGCACTTTTTACAGTAAAAGGAATGGGGCAATGAGAGGCTTACTCTGTGAGTTCCTCGTGCCTTGTGTGTCAGGCTTTCAGATTGGCCACCACCTTGTCTGCTTTAATTTACCTTTATTTAAGTTACTTTTCCCTAATAGCCCAGTTCCTATCAGTGCTGCCACTGTTCTCTCTCTCTCTCTCTCTCTCTCTCTCTTTGACTGGCAGAAATGGAGTTACGTAGTTTTTTTCTCTGAATTTCCAGCTCACAAAATTAGTTGAGTATTCAGAGCGGCGGTCACACTTGTTGCTCATGTGTAACCACAGTGGGATTGTACTAATTAAGTAAGGCCTTGGTTGGTTTTTCTAATTCACCCCTCCTGTCTAGATTCCTTGGCTATTTGAAACAGTCCCAGGTTTACTCTGAACTCTCCACCCAGGATCCTATTCCTCATGGCTGTTCTCTGTGCCATCTCCCTAGGTTTTCCTGTCAGATGTTTGTGTGGCCTGGTTAATGCCTCTTGAATGTTCATTGTACTTTGGCATTTATGTAAGAATTCAAGATTTTGTTCTGTTTTAGTACTGTACAGGCCTTAGTGTACAGTCAGGTATTTGGCCAAATGTATTTCTCATGTAGGCATAAAAATATGTAATGTACATGACATTATTGTAGCAGTTGTTTTGTTTACATTACAGGAATACTTTGGATATACCAATGCATTTGAAGAAGGGGTTTCCCCTCAGTTTCGAATAAACTTAGAAATGTCTCAATTGACATTTCTAAATGATCTACGTATAAACTGCTTTTTAGTAACTCCTCATTTTTGGAGTAATTTTTTAGGGCCAAATGGGTTTGAAACTAATATGCAAAAAATGTATTTCAGCTGAGATCTGTATCTGTGGACCTGAATGTTGATCCCTCGCTTCAGATTGACATACCTGATGCACTCAGTGAGAGAGATAAAGTCAAATTTACAGTGCACACAAAGGTAAGTAACAAACAGTGGTAATACATACAGTGCTAGGTTGCAGCCTTGTTATTCACAGTGGATGTGAGAAGAGATTCCCTGAGCTTGAAACAGTTGCTATTCATAGGGTAGCACTATTAAGTGAGAACTTCCCTAATCTCACAGTAAGCATCAGGTGAGTGCCATTTTGGCAGCAGCATTCTGCTCTGGCAGAGCCCTGGGCTGTGGGTTCTTTTTTTTTTTTTTGACAGTCTCACTGTGTTGCCCAGGCTAGAATGAAGTGGCGCCATCTTGGCTACTGTAACCCCCAACTCCCGGGTTCAAGCAATTCTCGTGTCTCAGCCACCAGAGTAGCTGGGATTACAGGCCTGAGCCACCACACCCAGCTAATTTTTGTATTTTTAGTAGAGATGGAGTTTCACTGTGTCAGCCAAGCTGGTCTCAAACTCCTGATCTCAGGTAATGACGTGCCTCAGCTTCCCAAAGTGCTGGGATTGAAGGCTTGAGCCAGAGCCACCACACCCCGGGGCCCCACCTTCGTTTTTAATTTGCATCCAAGGGAAGTTTCTCTCTGTAGCTTGCTGTTTTTTCAGCATTTACTAAATTGGGAAGGACCTTTCCCATGTGGTTTTTTCTTAACGCTTGGGCAGCTTGAATAGCACACTTCAGTTATTCCGGAGGCAGTGTAAAAAGACTGGTGACATAATTCTCTGCCTGAGCTTACCAGATCAAAGGAGGTAAAATCAGCATTCACTGGAGTGAAAAGGAAGGAAGCCAGGGACAATTTTTAGAACCATAGTAAGTAACAGCTAAGAGGTTTTTTTAAAATTTATTTTTCTTTTTTGTTATAAGTTGGGGGTGGGGGGTAAATTCAGACTTACAAAAGTAGAATTTGGGGCTGGGTTGGGTGGCTCACACCTGTAATCCTAGCACTTTGGGAGGCCAAGACAGGCAGATCTATTGAGCCTGGGCAACATGGCAAAAACCTCTTTCTTCCAAAACTATAAAAATTAGCTGGATGTGGTAGCGCACACCTGTAGTTCCAGCTACTCAGGAGGCTGAGGTGTTGGGAGGATGGCTTGAAAGCCTGGAAGGCAGAGGTTGCAGTGAGCCAAGAAGCCAAGATCATTCCACTGCACTCCAGCCTGGGTGACAGCCAGACCCTGTTCCAAAAATGTATATATACAAAAAAAAAAGTACACAGAAACAAAAAAATAGAATTAGGGTTGTGGCTTACTTCTTGGAACTGAACTTCTACCAGTAGATTATCTGATTGGATATTCATTACAAGCTTCAGAAAGGTGGAGTCTGGGGAGAAATCCTTAGAGTTCAGGTTGAAGCTTAGCTGGGACTTTCATGATCGGAGATCATGTGTTACTGCTTGGTTCTTTACTGGATCATACTATGATGTATTATGCAGAATTTTCTGCCATGTAGCCCAGGAAACCCAAATCACTTATCTAAAAGTCGTGGTTACCAGTTAATTTCTTTCTTTCTTTACAGACCACATTGCCCACGTTTCAGAGCCCAGAGTTTTCTGTCACAAGGCAACATGAAGACTTTGTGTGGCTACATGACACTCTTATTGAAACAACAGACTATGCTGGGCTTATTGTGAGTCTTTTAGAAAATCAAATAAGCTAGTTCTTTCTGCCTTGCTATGCATTTAGTGTAAAAGAGACTTATATCCACTTTTTGTAATGGATTGTGAAAAGTTAGATTTCATCTACCTGTGGGAGTATTTGCTAACTGTCAAGTGGAAAATATGTGAAGGAAATAGTGTTAGAGCTTTGAGGTGGTGCATCCGGGCTTACATTATTTACATTGTAAAGGGGTGTGAACAGTGTAATGACTTCAGTCTTACCTACCTTTAGGTTTGGTTTTTCTCTGGTATGTTTTTTTCCAGGGTCAGTAGAATTGATTTCTAGGAAACATTAGTATTGGTACTAGTTTGTGATAAAATTTCTCAAAAGTTGCTGAAGGAGGCCATACCTGTAATCCTAGCACTTTGGGAGGCTGAGGTGGGTGGGTCACATGAGCTCAGGATTTTAAGACGTGCCTGGGCAACATAATGAGACTCTGTCTCTACTAAAAGTACAAAAAATTTGCTGTGTGTGGTGGCACATACTTGTTGTCCCAGCTACTGGAGAGACTGAGGCATGAGAATCGCTTGAACTTGGGAGGCAGAGGTTGCAGTGAGCCGAGGCCATGCCACGTCACTCCAGCCTGTGTGACAGAGCGAGACTCTTGTCTCCCAGAAACAAAAAAAGTGCTCAAAGAGGCAGTTTTCAGCCCTTGATTGTTAATTCTTGGCTGCAGGAACAGACTTAAACTGATTTTAAAGGCGATTTCCATGCATTTTGTCCTGCCAGGCAGACTGAAGAATCTGTCCAAATGATGATTTCTTAATAAACAAAATTAGTACCGAAGCTTATATTTAGGTATGTTCTGTTCATTCAAAATTAGAGTCCTTGATTATCCTTTGGGATTAGGAAAAAAATTCTTTTGGAATACTGGAGACTGTATAATCTTGATGGCTAATCGTTGGTGTTTGGCATTCGTTGTACTAGTTTTAGGCCAACATTGAAGCAGTATAGACACTGTTGTGCTCTGAACAATTGTCTGTAATGGATAAACTGAACAAATGATTGCCATCAAAGTGAATACGCAACTCTCAGGAAGACACCTCATTTTAAGTGGCCAGAAGAAATAAGGAAGGTTAAGAAAAAACAGGAGTTGACTTTTAAATAGCCCCACAGGAGTGGAGTGGTTGTCTCCTGTGGACCAGCAAGAGTAGAATGAGGCACCAACTAGAAAACATCGCTGCTGGGACAAGAGGCTCATGAGTTCCTGCCTCTGCTGCAGATTCCACCTGCTCCTACGAAGCCCGACTTTGATGGTCCTCGAGAGAAGATGCAGAAACTGGGAGAAGGTGAAGGGTCTATGACCAAAGAGGAATTTGCCAAGATGAAACAAGAACTGGAAGCGTAAGTGGATTTTCCTGGTGGGCTCTGTCTTTTGAGAAGTAGAAAAGTGGTGCTGTATACAAAAATAAGTAGAAGAACCTGACTTAATTTTGTTTTAAGTGCAGCTGTTAATTACGTCACTAGCGTCATTTTCTAAAACTAGTAATACATCTTGCATAGTGTGGGGCATGGTCTTTGTACTTCACACATTGATTCATTGGAGGCCATTGACACTAATACCTGATAGACTAGTTGTTTTTTCCCATATGTAGAGCATACTTATTAGGGATGCTAGTCTGGCACAGTGAGGAAATAAACTTTTGTGCCTTTATAAATTGCTCATAATGTACAAAACTTTTCTTTCAGAAGGTTGATTACTAGACGTTTAGAAGAAACTAGATTGTAATGAATGCTGTTACATGAAAAAAAATTTTTTTTTTTTTTTTTTTTTGCGATGGGTTCTTGCTCTCTTGCCCAGGCTGGAGTGCAATGGTGCTATCTCACTGCAACCTCCACCTCACAGGCTTCAGTGATCCTCCCACATCAGTCCCCTGAGTAACTGGGACCATGGTTACTGGGACTACTGGCACATGCCACCACACTCAGCTAACTTTTAAAATTTTTTTAGAGATGGGGTTTCGTCATGTTGCCCAGGCTGGTCTCAAACTCCTGAGCTCAAGTGATCGGCTCGCCTTTGCCTCGCATAGTGCTGAGATTATAGTGAGCTGTCCCCGGGCCAGACCAAATAATGAGTGCTGTTTACAGAGCAGCATTCTCAGTAACCATCACATTGATTTGAAAGAGGAAGTCCAGGTCTATAGGCAGCAAGTATATTTTAATCTGGTTGTCATTTATTTTTTTCAAACAAAAATAGATTTTCGGAAAGTTTCTTGTGAATCCGTCCTTGACTTCCTCATCTTAGCTGAAAAGTACTCATTCCTCCGCTCTTCCACCATCAGCTCCGAGTCCCCCAAGCCCCTGTGTCATCTAGGGCAGCACTCAAACCTCCAGGCACTGAAAGCATTTAGCAGACACTTGAGTGGTTTTGGGACCAGCTCTGGGGAATGAGGCACTGAACACAACAGACCCAAGTTTCTACCATTAGGAATTTTAAGGTGACCCTTAATGTCTAGGTTGAGATAAAGCTGCTTTGTAATTTTTGTTAACTTTTAGCTTCATGAGACTCATGCCGTGTACTCAGGCTGCAGAGTTATAGGGTTTTCATTGCTTTAAAGAAACAAATGTTCTGTGGCTGCTAGCTAACAGTAATTGCATGTAGATTTGGGAGCTCATGGACTTGATCCATCAAATCCAATGACAACATTGCTTTCCTCCATAGGTTTATTCCACAGATTCAAAAATGGCAATTGCCTTATCTAACTAGACACCAGGTTATACTGAAATGCTGTTTGGTCCAGTTGCAGTGTTTTATGTGGTGGCATGAGCAGAGCCATAGAATTAACCAGGAGTGGTATTGGTCAGGTAGTTGAGCTGTGTCAACTGAATGCTGTGTGCGCATCTCTTTTCAGTGAGTATCTCGCTGTTTTTAAGAAGACTGTCTCCTCCCATGAAGTCTTTCTTCAGCGGCTTTCTTCTCACGCTATTCTTAGTAAAGATCGCAACTTTCATGTTTTCCTGGAATATGATCAGGATGTAAGACATTTTTATTCCGTTTTGATAATCCACTTCAAATGTTTATACTTTCAAAATGTTCTTGATAGTTTCTAAAAAATTGACTGCTTTAGAGTTTTGAATTTCTTACACAATGGAAACCTTTTTAGATGCTGCTTTTCCTTCATTGTGTAGGTCATTTTTTGTAAAACTCTGCTTAAAGAAAATTTTGACTTCTTTCCCCTTCCAAAACCTAGATTTCTTTTTAAGAAATTAACAGTCCCAAACATCCCTTAATTTCTTAACAATCCCGAGTTAACTACGTTCATTTTAAGGGAATTAAAATTTGTGTAATTTATTTTCTTCCCAGCTACCCTTGTTATTGAATTATGACTTTTATGCTATTTTTCTTTTTAACATGTTTTGGTTTTTGCTACTTAATATGTATAGAAGAGAACAGTAATTTTCCCAAGGATTTCATAGCCAGTAAGACTTGGCTTCTAGTCAGTCTTTCAAAATCTCTTAAGCCTTTTAGAATGAGATGACCTACCTATGTTTAGGTTTAGCCATTAGGTGTTTTTAAAGCTTGGAGGTTAAGGCAGAATTAAAGATACTTTGTGCATTTGCCTGTAGTAATAAAGAGGATTACTTAAAATGTTATTCAGAACTTCTTTAAGAGAACCTAGAAAAATACATACCATATAAACTGTTCTTTGGAATTTTCTTCCTTTAGCTAAGTGTGAGGCGGAAGAATACTAAAGAGATGTTTGGTGGCTTCTTCAAAAGTGTGGTGAAAAGTGCTGATGAAGTCCTTTTTACCGGAGTTAAGGTTAGTGACCTGTGGCTGTTGGAGAAAATTTTTGACTTCTTTGGGAGTAGATGACCTTTTATTTCTTTGAAAGAGATACTTGTGAAGCAGATGGTTAACTTTTAAGAAATGTAAGTTTTCTTCAGATTTTGGTAATTTTCATCTACTTATTCAATTTTCACTTATTTCCCAAAGCACCTTGTTCTCTCCAAGAAGCAACTTGAACCTTTCCACACTTGGCTTCATTTTCTCCTTTTCTGTAAGGAGAGAGATTACTCAGTTAATTTCTAAAATAATATACAAGATCAGTATTTTATACAAGATCAGTATTTTATCCCATTCTCGGAACTACACTGTCCAGTTTGGTCACCAGCTACAGGTGATGGAGAAGCACTTGACATGTAACCTAGCTAGCACAACTAAGGAACCAAACTTTAGATTTTATTTACATATTGTATTTCAAGGCGTTAGCACAAAGATAAGAATACAAAAATTTCCAAACATTTCCATTACCCTTATAGGTATGATTTACTTTCTTCTCGGCCTTCTCATTCCTTTGTAACTGAGTAACCCTTACAGTTACTATCTGGTATCTGCCTCTGCCATTCCAGGGAGCCCAGAATACAGGTGCTCAGTAGAGAGAGGGCATCATGAGAAATTAGGAAACTCGGACTTAGTCCAGTTTAAGGTGTATGGGACAGTCCTGTATCCATGCGTTATGGGATATTTGGCATTGGCATCCTTGGCCAGTGCCTGCCAGATACCTGGATTTCCTCCAGTCTGAAACTAATCGAGAAAAAAAACCCTCATTCACACACAGATAGGTATGCAAGGCTAAGTGGCCATGTTCCACCTGGTAGAACCATTGTACTAGTGTAAAATAGCTGGGTCTTAGGATGCCAGTTTTACTGGGGATTGTTAAGTGATTCTTCTGTAGACATTTTCTGCCAGCCCTTGGTTTTTGCCAGCCTTGGTTAAGAAATAGTATCGTAAATTTGTAATTCCCTGATCTGTAGAGGTTAAACTTTACTCGTGTTTGCCATGTTCTAAGCAATATATTTTTATATTGATAAATATAAAAGGCTACAGGGGTAGTATATTTTCACATTCATAAGATGTCTGGTTCTTTTTTTCTTCCTTCTAGGAGGTAGATGACTTCTTTGAGCAAGAGAAGAACTTCCTTATTAACTATTACAATAGGATCAAAGATTCTTGTGTGAAAGCTGACAAAATGACCAGATCTCATAAAAGTAAATATCATTTACCACTAGTCACGTACAGCTTTGCTGATGAGCCTGGCTGTGTTTGGATAAAAAGACTTGTCCTTGTTTTTGCAGATGTTGCCGATGACTATATCCACACTGCAGCCTGCTTACATAGCCTGGCTTTAGAAGAGCCCACAGTCATCAAAAAGTAAGTTTTTTTGGAAAAGCATTTCCCCAAACCCAATTGACAAGTGCTGAGTGGTAAAATTAAAAGCATAAATGAGTAATGACTATATGGTCCTGCTGTGGAGTTAAAAGCTCAGTAAGACAAGTGTCCAGCACTCATCTTACATGTTCTCTGGACATAAGACACTTACAAGACAATTGTAGGCACTTGGGCTCTTCTATATGTGAACAAATACAGTAAATGTTGTCAAAGCAATAGTTTCTGTCACACTTAAAAAGCCTGTTTTCTTTAGTTTTGGCGTTTGTGAGAGTTTATCTTGAATCTTCCCCTGGCAATTGGTGCTTGCCATTTTGCCTGGTAATGCCCTAGACCTTCTTTTTTTTTTGGCCTGTGATGCAGCCCCAGGAGATCCGGAGAACATGTGCCTCTGCCCTGGACTTTGAAGAGATTTGGTTATGGTGGTCATGAGAATAATTTAATGACCCCAGTCTGACACACAGCTGTTTTGATGTACAGTTTTCTGAAATTATCTTCATTCATTGAATTAAAAACCCTTCCATTTTCACTCTGCACTTACATATGTGTTTCAGTTTCTGCATCCTGAGTGTTTCTGGTATAAGACAATATTTTACTTAACATCCAGGCTTGGCAAAACAGGTGATATTACTTCTGACTTGAAATTGAAAGGCTAATGGCAGAACCATGATAAATTAAATAGCATATTTACTGCTTTGCGATGCCCATAGCAGAGCTCATTAGAACCTGACCTTGGTTAACACAGCATTGGCATTTAATAAGAATATTTGGGCACATGGCAGGATGACCAAAGGGTCACCAAGAGGCTGAGTGTGGTGTTGTACATGTGTGTAGTTTTGTGACCATCTTCTCTACTATTTGGGGTCAGTTGAAGTGAGAGCACTTTCAAATTAACGCTAAAGCGCCACAGGCTCGGACTGCTGAGTTGACTCATTCCTGTCTTGCACGCTGGTAAGATCATGTTTATAGATGATTTAAGACCTTACACCAAAATTACATGTACATTTTCAGGTACCTGTTGAAGGTTGCTGAGCTATTTGAAAAGCTTAGGGTAAGGATTTTTGTGTTGGTCTTCATAACATATATTTTATAATCTGTAGCTTTCTGCCTTGATGGTGACCTTTCCTTTTCTATATAGAAAGTAGAGGGTCGAGTGTCATCAGATGAAGATTTGAAGCTAACAGAGCTCCTCCGATACTACATGCTCAACATCGAAGCTGCTAAGGTAGGAAGAGAGTTGCTCAGCTTCTCGGAGCAATGCAGGACCAGAAGTCTGTTTAAAAAGTTTCTTTACACAAAGGGGCAGAATGAGAGTTTATCAGACTTGTTTTTATGAATGACATGCCTCTCTGGCCTTGTATCCATAAAGCTTGTGTATCTGACAGCACTGTGGGGGTTGTGTGCAGTAGACAGGTAATAGTTTGGGGGATGATAGGTCATTGATATGGGACACAACGTGCAGAAAGGGCTGTTGCTGGGGCAGAGAAAATTTGGGAGTTTTTATTGAATTGCAAGTATCCCTGCAGCCTTTGAGCCATAAGGCTTTATATACATATATGGGCAAATTGGTAAGCAGAATAACCTTTGGGAATGAAACATGCATTGTCTGCATTGCCCTGAACAAATATGTTTTAATTTTATGTGAAATGTATTAAATCAGGCAAAATACAATTAGATAGGATTCTATGCCCTCTGAGGCTGAAATGTCATCAGAAAGTAAGAGTAAAAATTTATTTTTCCCCCATCATGTAGTTTTATTTTAGTTAATTTGCCCTTTGGCATGTTTTCTGAATCTTGGAGTTTTTAAAAACATACTTTTTTAGTAGCTTATTTTCTTCTTTCATGGAATTTGATCTCACTTAAGATTATTTGAGTATATACAAAAATTGGCCTAGTAGTTTCACCCATCAGTTATTTCACCTAGTTTTAAATGTATAATCTATACATCATAATTGCAGATTTCAGATACTGAAGTAACTTCTACTTTGTTGTAAGATTGCAAAGAACCTTTATGTCTGACTAAGTGGATCTCCAAGGTAGATTACCAGAAGCAGGATTTGCAGGGCAGGGTTAACTTAATTGCCCAGTTTTATTTTAGCAGCTCTCAACTTCACTTACCCAGCAGTGACTGTATATGTGTTCTGATGCACAATATTTAATTTTTGAAGTTAACTTTGTTTACTGAATTAACTGAAAAAAAAATAGTTCTTCTGTTTTCACTCTTGAGTAATCACTTGATTCATATAAGGGATTCTTAAAAAAAGCTCTCAACAAAGCTATCAGCGTTGCTTATCGCTGCCGAAGCTGGAGATTTAAAAATACTCTGGGAGAGGGAAGGTGTAGAGGTAGATTATTGCCACTTAACATCTCAGGTGGTACATTGGCACTTGGGCTATTTTTTAGACTGGTTTAGATATTTAGTATGTATACCTGTTAATTTTTTTCCCAGGATCTCTTATACAGACGCACCAAAGCCCTCATTGACTATGAAAACTCAAACAAAGCTCTGGATAAAGCCCGGTTAAAGAGCAAAGACGTCAAGTTGGCTGAGGCACACCAGCAGGAGTGCTGCCAGAAATTTGAACAACTTTCCGAATCTGCAAAAGAAGGTTGAGCAGGGACATTCTTCTTTCTGTACTCTAGTTTGAAAATAATTTCAAACTTAGAAAAGTTGCACAAATAGTGCAAAAAACACCTATCTATCCTTCACCCAGTGTCAGCACTTCACCCCATCTGCCTTATCACTTGCACATGCACAGTCACCCTCATGGCTTTGTGTACTTACAAACGTTACACACCTGATTTTTCTGTACCAATGGAGATTAAGTTGCATATATCATGCTCCTTTTAGCCCTAAAAACATTGTTGTTTATGTCCTAAGACTGAAGACATTCTCTTGTATGGTTACAGTACGGTTATTTGCTGTGATAAATTTAACTTTGGGACTACAATCTGCTGTCTATTCATGTTTGTCTTGATGTCCTCTACAAGATCCAGTCTAGGATTGCATCTGGTTATCTTAGCTATTAGTCTCCTTTACTCTGGAATAGTTCTTAGTTTTTAATGATATCAGTCTTTTTAGAGAATCTCTTCACAATTCCTGTATTTCTGACTTTTGGTTGGTGTCCTCATGTTTTAGATCTGGTCATGGGTTCCTGGCAGAATAGAAGTAATATGCCCTTCTTGGGGTGTCACTTCTGATTGAACATTGTGTTTCTCCTTCATTTGTGGTGGTAATTTTGATTACTCAGTTAGATAGTATCCAAATCCAATTTCTCCACTGTGTAGTTACTGTTTTAACCCCCATCAATCTGTGGTGAGGCAGTTTAAGACCACGCAAATATCTTGGTCTTCATCAAACTTCCTCCCTAGATTTAGCATGTATTAATGATTCTTACCTAAAGCAGCTGTTACTCTGATGGTTGGAGAAAGACGATTTCCCTCATCTCCAGCTCTAACTTTCCTACCCAAGTTGGCACTTGTCATTCTCCTACAAAAAGCCTTCCCTTTTCTCAGATTTCCTTTATCTTCTTTATTAGAGTCATGAATTCCCAGTTTTTAAAATGGTTTGGGATTCATTATTACCAAGTTATTTTTGATGCTTGTCCAGACTTTTCCAATAGGATCACCTTTAAGCTGGCATGTGGTTGTAACACCCTAACCCCTCTTTTAGAGCAATAGGCTATGCTAATCTTACTCTCTACTCCAGCCTTGAAACTGGCCATTTCTTCAGGGAGCCAGGGTTCTTTTTCTTTGAGAACAGTTACCAGCATCTGAGTATGCTCATTGTTTTGGGGTATCTCTGCTTCTGTGCCCTTCAGTGGACTGAGCTAGGAAATGTATGTGTGCGCGCACATGCATGCTGTTGCACACACATGCAGGTTGCAGGGATCACAAGTCCGGTCCATGTCCACGTCCACTGGGTTCTTTCTTGCCTTATCCATTTCAGTCCTCAGCAGAGGACTTTTACCATTTCCATTGAACATGAGTGTAATATGTAGTCCTTGCCTTGCCTAAGAGGATTTAGTGGATCTTCTCTGGGTTCTCAGGAGCCATGGAACATGCCAGAGCACATGTTGGAATGGATTACCCAGAATGTGAGTAGTTGTAGTCGGGCACTATTGGACTCAGCCCCCACCCCCTGAACTCATGTTTCCATGAAAAATTCGTATCTTAACTTAGCTTTCTGCTAACTTGGTTTCCCAGTGGTTGGGTAATCTAGACGTAGGGAAATGATCTGTTCATCAACATGCCTAAAGCTACCTGGGGGAAACCTAAACTTGATAGAGTTCTAATCATTTGTCTTTTCGTCTATTCAGGGTTATAATACAATACCTTAACTGTAAGCCACAGAGCTTCCTGGCAAATGTCACGTAGATAGGCTCTGAGGCTGTCCTGGTTTCTTCCAAAGTAACCTTCGTGCTACCCTTTTCCTGAAACAATTACAGCTTTTTTTTTTTTTTTTTAAACTAAAATTTTCAAGGAAACATACACACTTCAGAACTACTGAGTTGAAATCTTATAGGCAAGTTCCATGGCTCTGGCAATTTTAGAGGAGATTAAAGAAAAACACAAAACTTTAAAAAATGATGCCAATTCAGGTCTACCTTTACTGCCTAAAGTTTTCGCCCACATTGATTATATCCTATATTCAAAATGCAAAATAGGTACATAGAATGCTGAGATTGGTGGGTCTTAACCTGTGTTTGCCTCTGGTACAAGTGCTTTCTGAGACTTGTAGCTGAGCTGACTAGAGTTGAGTCAGTGGGTAAGGGCTGGTTTCACAGCAGGTGAGTAGTTAGCGTATGGAGCCCTGGTACTATGTGTAGGTCCAGAGGACGGCAGGGAGCTTATTTTCACCCAGGATATCCAAGGGACTGATAAACATCACCTTGTAGTGCAAGCACTATAGACTTAACATATCACTATGAAATTTGTGACTTTTTAACTCGGATGTGGCTGCCTATATTGTAGTTCTTTCGCACAACACTAGAGGCAGGAGGAGGGTGAGTCTGCTCTGAACACTTGAGCACCAGCAGAAGGTTGAGTGATGGTCAAAGTTTTACTCAAGCAAAACTGCAAGACAGAACTTAATGTCAAAATTTAATGAAGGTAGTAGGGCGAGACACGCATATTCTTTGTTCCAATTTCCAATAGGTCATTAATGCTGAATTCTGATGGCAGTAGGAGTAAATGAAAAGGAAGCATGCCCTAAAGATCATCAAGTAAACCTGTCTTGAATACGAGTAGCAGTTTTTACTGTTTCGGATTTTAAAATGTTTTAAGTTTTATTTTTAATCGACAAGTCATCGTATTGCATTTATGGAATACATTGTGATCCTTTGATACAGGTATATAGTGTGAAATTGTTAGATCAAGCTAATTGACATCTCATTTTTTCAGTGGTAATACATTTGAAATTTACTGTTTCAATATACATTATTGACTCTAGTCACCCTTTTGTGCAATATATCTCAAAATTTATTCCTTGAGTTTATTAGCTGCAGCCTTCTACCCATTCTCTTGCTCCCACCTTTCCCAGAACCCCACCCTCATCCTCTGTTAACCATCATTCTATTCTCTACTTCTAGGGGGTTCAACTTAAGATTTTACCGATAAGTGAGATCATGTAATGTGTTTGTCTTTCTGTGCCTGGCTTATTGTATTTGGCATAATGTCCTCTAAGATCCATCCATGTTGTCCCATATGACAGAATTTTGTTCTTTTTAAAGGCCGAATAGTATTATGTGTCTCTACTACATTGTCTTCATCTGCTGATGGACACTCTCAATTGATTTTGTATTTTGGCTATTGTAAATAATGCTGCAGTGAACATGGAAGTACAGATACCCCATTGAGATACTTATTTCAATTCCTTTTGTTACATTCCCAGAAATGGGTTTGCTGGATCATATGGTAATTCTATTTTTAGTTTTTTGAGGAACCTCTACACCATTTTCCATGGTAGCTGTACTAATTTACATCCCCAGCAACAGTGTAGAAGAGTTCCCCTTTCTCTGCATTGTTGCCAACACTGATCTTTCATCTATTTGAGAAAATCCATTCTAGCAGGTGTGAGGTAATCTCATTGTGGTTTTAATTTGCATTTCCCTAATGGTTAGTGATGCTGAACATTGTTTGCACAAACCTGGTGTGTCTTTTGAGAAGGTTTTCAAAAGCCATTGGTGAAGTATGTGGCTCACCAGCACCCATACTCCAGCCGTGTTCCCAGTCACTGGTACCTAGAGGGTGAGAGTGAGGCTGCTCATCACATGTTCTCCAAGTTGCCAGCTGCTGCCCTCCAACTCACCATACTTGGTGATGCGGTGATGTTTTCCACTTAAAGACAGTGATAGCTGTATCACCACCGTTAATAGAAGATGTCTAGTGTGTCCTGGTCACAGAGACAATACAAATGTGAGAAAATAATGCTGGTGCATGAAAGCTTTGGAGACCATTTGTAAGAATGCCATTTGGTAGTTAAAGTGAACATGAAAATTGTTTAGTTTTTGTTGGGTTTCATAAGCATTTTTTCTTCCTGTAGAACTGATAAATTTCAAACGGAAGAGAGTGGCAGCATTTAGAAAGAATCTAATTGAAATGTCTGAACTGGAAATAAAACATGCCAGGGTAAGTGTTTTCTACAAATGAAGCCAACATCTTTTATGGTGTTTTCCCAAGTTATTTCCCAGTTTACTAACCCATTGTCATCAGGCAATTGGGGTGGCCTTGTGGTATTAATCCTCTGTAGTACTTAGTTGATGGGAGTCACTCATTGTTTATTTGTAGTCTTGTTTATAATGTCACCCATGACTAATTTTTAGCAACTTTTTTTTTTCTATTAATAGAGATGGCATTTCACCATTTTGGCCAGGCTGGACTTCTGACCTCAGGCGATCCACCTGCCTTGGCCTCCCAAAGTGCTGGGATTACTGGTGTGAGCTACGGCTACCAGCCCTAATTTCTAGCACAACTTACTCAATCTTTCCAAGGCCCTCGCCTTCATAGAACAACGCACTGATAGTGTCTAAGAAGTTATAGTAAATAGGATCACATTTAGGAGCAAGCAGGTGAGGGCAGAGGTGCTGGGCGAACATCAGCTCTTTCGCTGGTAGCCTTACCCACTGAGGGAGAGGAGCTCTCCTACATGAAATTGGGATGAGTAGTACATTGCAGTTCACCTGGGATTTCATGAAGAGAAGGGCCAGCTTGCTCTGGCTGACTTTAAATCTCCTGTGAAAAGCTATGTTGGTGGACTTGAGTCATTACAGGCATATGGCAAGTTTTAATAATTCATTGGTCTGCCTTGACTTTTTTCCCCACAGAACAATGTCTCCCTTTTGCAGAGCTGTATTGACTTGTTCAAGAATAACTGATATGCCTTCACTCAGAAGAAAAGAAATGAATGTGAAAGAAAGCCAAGCATCACTTGCACTTAAATCATTACCACGGAAAATTTATTAGCTTCAAGTTTAAAATTATGTGAATAAATATTTTGATTTCTACAAATCTTAACATTTAACCATGTTGGTTTAAAAACATTATTGCTTGCTACTTGGACAAACTAATTTTTCCTTGTGCATTTAATACCTCTGGGCAGAATCTAAATACTGGGTTATCCTGTAGTTCGTCTTTAGTTACTGAGAAAGGGTGTAGGAGACATTTGCCTTCTGGAAACAAGTAGAAGCAATCACCGGGCCTATGTCCCTACAAACCCATGATTGTCAGGGAGGTGCCAGTTGCAGCAGGTGGTTCAGCTGCTCGAGGCAGGTAACAGACCTTCCATTCCTCGCTGAAGGTGGGGTTTGTGTTTTTGTTTTGCCCGTCACTCCACTGGTAGTCATCTGGTATTGACTACAGCAAGAAACATAACAGCAAGAAAATCTCATTTATCTTTATATACTCTTTGCACCTCCTTTTTTTAGTTGAGATACAAATATTTGAGGGGAGAGAAATATCTATGGGTATATATGGAAACATAATGTGGTCTACTTTGTAAGATGGCCAGATCTACATTAGGAAGAGTATGAGCTCCCTCCCTAGTGGCCATTGGGGGGTGAGGGGGGTATGGTGTATGTCTTTGGGCATTTGTTTTTTTATAAAGCATATAATAAAATAATCGTGCTACTAACATACAGCCTGTTTTTGTGGAAACCAAAGCCAGGGTGTATCCCGGGAATGCAGGTGGTGCTAGGCTTTGGCGGTGGTTACAAGGGTTTCAGGGTCTGCCCAGAGTCCTGGGGTCGGGGCAGGGGGGTGGGGTGGTGTCAGGGGAAATTTGTCCTAGTCTTAACATTTTTAAATACTCCAGGCCTTTTTTAGATGGTCTCTAAATCTGGGTTTGTCTGTCTGCTCCTGACCTGATGGAGGTTTGCATTTTGACCAGGGGCTTTACCATAGGGCAGTCGTCCCCAGCCTCAGGTCCATGGCTTGTTAGGAAGAGGTGAGCTAGCATTGCTGCCTGAGCTTCGCCTCCTGTCAGATTAGCAGCAGCATTAGATTCTCATAGGAGTGCGAACCAGTATTGTGAACTGGGCATGCAACAGATCTAGGTTATACGCTCATTAGGAGAATCAAATGCCTGATCTGATGTGGAATGGTTTCATCTGGAAGCCATCCCTTTTTTCCATACCCCACCTTGTCCATGGAAAAATTGTCTTCCACGAAACCAATCCCTGGTGCCAATGCCATGTCTTTAGGTGTGTGTCTATTCTTTCGTTGATGACTGAGCACTTAGGGTGGTAATCTGCTCTACTTCTCTAAAGTAATTCATGGAAAGATTATTTGAGACTAAAAACATTTTACCCACCACTTTTAGCATCTGTTACAACCAACTGATATGAGGGTTGAAGAACTGATTTCAGTACATACAGGGAGCATGTTTCTTAACATTTAACTGGTCTTCATGTCTTGCCTCCCCAATTATTTACAGGTGGCCACAGTGCCTTCTACCTTCACAGTACATACTTAGGAAACGGTGCACAAAATGAGTGAATTTAAACTTGGCAGTTCTAATGTAACTTCAGTCTGGGCTCCTAACCACGTCTGTCCTTCCTACCCATCTGCCCCATAATGTCCACAGCAGCCACCCCCACACACCTAGCATCCTGTCAGTGTAGAGCTAGCATTCCTGCTGTCAGGTTCCTGGGTGGCAGTGCTTGAGCACCAGTGTGATCAGCCCTGGTTGGAGGAGCTCTGGCTGTGGGCCTTGGGGCCTTGGTACATATTCTTGAGACTAAACCTTGTAAAATGGACAGCTGAGACATGAGTCTGAGTCCTGGGTCTGCTGCTCACCAAGTGATCTGCCTCTCGAGTAATCTGAGTTGGAGTCAGCACTTAAGTGGCCCCTCGAATTAGTTTTATGCCAGCAATCTCTAATACAGCCTTAATCGATGGCATGATTATAGATGTTTTTACCTGCTGTATTTGTTTCAAAGCTTTTAATTAAATTGCATCTGACAGTCACTTAGGAAATTTGAGGCACTCTGGGTCAGGGATGTAGTCACCTTTACCCTTCTGTCAGTCACCTGGTGAGTTGCTACCTTTACACGTATGTGAGGGTGCATGCATAGTGGTCTGGGGTGGGGGGATGGGTTTAGATGTTGACCGCAACCTATGGTCTGCAGAGCCCACCGTGGTGGGTCAAAGGGAAGGCTGGTATTGAGACCTGGAAAGGCAGGCAGGCACTTGTCAGCAGGAGGAACAGCATCAGATGGGAATCCACAGCTATCTTGCTGGAGCGCAGGGGAGCATAGGTCCCACATTGAGAAATGGGAATTTGGGTCACTTCAGGGTGATGTGTGGAGAGGCTTTTGCTGTGTGCTTGTATGGTTGGTTTTGAGAACTAGTGATCCTCCAGGAAAACCCATGTGGGTGCACAATTCTTATGGAACCCTTGAGGGTTTCTAGAAATGATGGGAATGGGAAGTGGTTTCAGATGGGCTGCCTTAGGACATCCAGGCCAGAAACGCTGTGACTTGCCCAAGTCATAAGTGAGAAAGTTGCCTTGTGGCACACGTAAAACTGCACAGTTCACATGTCATGATTTCATTAAAAGCTAGGATCCAGCCTGAGAAACATCGCAACCCTGTCTACAAAAAATGTTAACCTAGAGTGGTGGCATACACCTGGAGGGTTAAGGTGGGAGGAGGACTGCTTGTGCCCAGGAGGTCAAGGCTGTAGTAAGTTATGATAGCACCACTGTACCCCAGACCAGACAGCACCTCCCCCCTCCCCGCCCTCCCCCACTCTGAAAAACAAAACTAGGAGATTGTCACCAGGAAGGGAAGCACACCCCTCCCTGGTCTGTGAAGCCGTTAAGGTTGAGGTCATGTCAGACCACTGGGGTCGTTTGTGGTGACAGAGCACAAGCATTTGGCCAGTTTGCCGCCCAACACATTCACTTGTGCCATCTCAGGGTTTTAGGGTCTGTTTTTCTGAACATTGCCTTTTGCACCTTTTACTGCTGTGAGGTTTCTTGGTGGTGATTCCCAGGCTCGGCTCTGTGAAGGGCGATTTCCATTTGGAAGGAAACCTTGCACTGTCCGCTTTCTGCCTGTAGGCGGCAGGGGCGACCCAGCACAGCCACCTGCCCACCCACAGCTGAGCAGGAGCCTGGTGTCCCTGTAGAGCTGCTCAGATTATCAGCTTACAGCTAAGGTAGCAGGAAGAGAAATGTCAGGCTACCTGAGAGTTACGTAGTTCTGGATGGCATCTTCCCAGACCAGCAGTCCCCTCCAGGATTCCTGCGGGCTTCAGGTTTCTGGTTACCCAAGACAACCTCCATTGCTGAGGCCATTCTGTTTCAGGAACTCCCCATCTGAGCCTGGTGTCAAAACAGTTGTGAGGCTGATGGGGGTTCACAGCCGGGCCATGTGTTGTGCCTGGAGGAAGTTGTTGGGGGGTGGTGGACAACATTTGGGCAGTGACCTTTAGACACAGCTGGGTCTGCAAGGTCCAGGGGACCCCCTTCCCCATCCACTCCTTGCACATACACAAGGTGCCCCTTGCCTGGGTGAGCTGCTCAGTGATTTCTTATTGGAGGTTTGGTTTGTCACCATTCAAAACCATTGATATTTTTTGGTTTTAATCTTTATTTCTAACTTTAATACATGTAGGGAATTAATGAAGTCCCCACATCTTATAAAACTTAAATAACAGTAAAATACCACATCTCATAAATAAGTTATTAAATATGTTTATAGATTTTTTTTCCTGTCCATATAGGAATTGTTTACAAAAATCTATTCAGGATGCCAGCATTGGGATTGGATTCTGGAGGTTTTCTGCCGTTGGTTCTCTTTCTCCTTGGAGTAGTCTCCATGGAGATCCATGGAGGAGTTTTCCTGAGGCCCCCAAACAGCTCCTTTGCATCTTTGTCCTTCCACTGCTTGCTTCCCAGGAGGAAGAGTTGAGGGCCCCCTGCAGACAAGCATGGAGGCCCTGACCCTCCCAGTCTCTTCCCTCCCTTCAGCAACCACCCTACCCAACCAAAGTCTTCATTAGCTAGAAGGCATGAATGGTTTAGGTAGCTGTTTCGGAGGATTTTAATTTTTAATTGAGCCCTTCTTTTTTTTTGGTTGGTTGGTTGTTTCTGAGACAGGGTCTCACTGTTGACCAGGCTGGAGTGCAGTGGTGCGATCATGGCTCATGACAGCCTCCAGCTCCTGGGCTGAAGCTGTCCTCCCACCTCAGCCTCCCAAGTAGCTGGGATTACAGGCATACGCTACCATGCCTGAGTAATTTTTTTAAAAAAATCTTTGTAGAGATGGGTCTTGTTATATTGCCCTGGCTGGTCTTGAACTCCTGGCCTCAAACAGTCCTCCCACAACGGGATTACAGGCATGAGCCACTGCCCAACTGGGCCTGCCTTATTTTTTAATACATGCTTTACAAAACTCCTTAAAGCTTCTTAAGTTGTTGGACCTGTAATATTGAGGTCAGGAAAATAAGAGCCTGTAATCCTAGTCCACAGCCACTTCTGGTAGTTGCCTTCCAGCTCTTATCCACATTCATTAATTCATTTGGTGTGCCCTCAGCTAAAGGAACAAAGGCCTATTTGGGGGGATTTTTAGCAAAGGGTAAGGATTTGGGGGTTTGGGGTATAGTTTCCACTGAAACTTGCTGCAAGGATAATGTAGCAGGAGACTGGCCAGCTGCTTAGGTTTCAGGAACTGTTTATGACCGGCCTTACTTTTTAACTGTTACATTGCAGATCCTTTCCGGTCGTTCTGGTGGGGTTTGGAGAGGGAGTGGAGGTCATGTGTTTGTTGTTTACCCCATCCTCTCTACATTGCAAAAAGACAGGGAGGGGATGACCCATGCTCTGGAGGGTCAACCTAAGACAGGGCAAAGTCAAGGAACAGTTAATAAGAACGGTGCTGTGCGGGTGTTAGGCTGTGTATCAGTTACCCCTAAATCAGGCTGGATACCCATAGCAATTCTTGACATAGCTTCCCATTGCTCTGCCCTGCTGAAGTTAGGAGGTTTCTGCGAAGCAGTTGCGCACTTCGCTTGAGGGTGGAAACCTGTAGCTAGAGCCAGCCTTCAAGATTCCAGCTGGATCCAGCTGCAGCTCCCAGGGTCTCAGCTCCTTGGATTTGTTGATTGTATCATGATCTCATGATTCAGTCCTGTGGGGAGGCAGGTGGCCGGACATTTATCTGGGGGCAGAAAAAGTGTCAGGAGTAGGAGAAAGAATACACAAAAAAGACCCTAAGGGGAGGAGAGGAAAGGAGCCAGAGGAAGCCTGCAGACAGCAATGTAGGAAGCCCCATTCCTGCCTTCCTGTGAAGCTGATCTTGGCCTGCTCAGCGAATGCCTGAGAAGACAGGAAATCCTGAGCCTGCAGCCTCGAGAAAAACATTGGAAACGCCTGCTGCGAATCCCAACAGGGCTCGCACTATGTGTTTTTCTAAAGTCTGGTTCGTGTCTGCAGTGCTTTTGACCCCTTTTGCACTGTCTGTTAAAGCACTTGTCGTCATAGGAGGGGGCCGGGGAGTGAAACTGACCAGATGTGACCCGCCTCAGAATTGGGGGCCAGAGGTGAGGCTGGTGTGAGGGGAGGGGCTACTTGCAAGGGTCCTTGTTGCAGGGAAGAGGGAAGTGGGGTCCGGAAGCTGGGACTGTCAT